CCCCGGCTACACTAATTCTATGGGTATACTATTTTTTGTCCACCCAATATTCTGCCCAATAAAGAAAAGCTAGTCTCACAGCTGTCTTATAGAACTTGCCCTTCAGCTTCATTGGTATGTGGCGATCACATAAAATTCCAGTTGCACATCCCCACTTCACCCAACCAGCTGGAATTCTGTGTGCGACATCTTCCACAATCTCTCCATGTACTTGAATTATCGGCTTAAAATATCGAAAGTGCGGTCTTTTTGTACTTCATGGCCGTCAATCTTAACTACTTCCTCATCTCTACTCCTATTATTACTAAACTTGAATTCTATATACTTTGTCTTAGTCCAACTAATTTTAAAACTTTTGGATTTTAGAGCATCCCTCCAAAGTTATAACATTGTGTTGACTCTGTTTCGGGTCTCATTGATCAAAACTATATCATCTACGAACAACATGCACCACAGTACCTCATCCTGTAGGTGCCTAGTTAAGTTGTCCATAACTAAGACAAAAAAGTACAAGCTTAATGCTGACCCTTGACGTAGACCTACAAACAGCTAAGGTCAAAGAATGAAAAACCTCGAGAGATACATCTGCAAAAACCAAGAAGACACAAAAGTTTTGAGACACTGGGGGAGGGGAACAGAGATTGAGGGTAAAGGAGGATGAAGAGAGGAGGAGGTGAGGAAGTGATATTTAAGGAGAAGAAAGGAGAATTACCAATAGAGATTGTGAGAGGATAACAGAGAAAGAGAGAAGAAGAGAAGAGCCGCATATCATCAGAACAAGGGGGAGAGGAGAGAGAGGGGAAGGGGAAGAGCACAAGTCTAGAGGGATGGTGGATGAGAGAAAAAGGAGACAGGGAGAACGAGGGGAAAAGTAAGAGAGAGTTAGAACAAGGGGTATAGAGGTATTACAATAAGCATTCCAAAAAACAAAATATACTATCCAGAACAAAAAGGAAAGCAAAAAACACGAGGACCTTCTTCAAGCAGCACTATAGGCACTAGCAGCCCCTACTCTAGCCAAAGCGTCTGCCATCGTATGGGCTTCCCACCAAAATTGAGAAAGGCAACCCCATCTATGTTTTTTCTCAAATTAATTTAAAAAAATGAGAGACGCCACTGCCAAAACAAACTGACCAAAGAAGCGATCAGCCAGTTCAAGAGGATCAGACAATTGACCAAAAATTATCAAAGAGAAGGAAACCAAAAGAGTTATCCATGTCAATTGATCCAACTAGAAAGATACATATTTGCAAAGCAAGGATCGAAACAAAACAATATGACCATCACTCTACATCAAACAGATAACAGTAAAACCTTAATTATAGCAAGGAATCAAACTATGGATATCAGATACACCACAATACAAAGTTCAAACTAAACCAGAAGAGGCTCCTCTCTCTAGAATCCCATGTGCAAATGGAGAGAGAGTTTCCTAAAAGAACCCAAAAATACAAACCCAAGCACAAGAAGCCAACAAAAAGGGCATATGAAACTGAAGTCTCCTCTCTCAAGGGAGCGCTATGCATAATTTCAATGGCTGCTCCCTCGGCAACCCTGGCCCGTCGGGATAGGGGGCATCTTTAGGAATCCGAAAGGAGCCACCCTTCTCTCGTTCGCTTCCCCATTGGAATCTCAGACTCCACTACTACAGAAGCCCGAGCTCTGCTGGAAGACCCTAAAAATTTCAATCAATCTTGGAGCGCAATTCTTGTGGTCGAAGAGGACTCAAGGATTGTATCTTGGCCCTCTCGAGAGGCCACACCACCATGGAGGCTTTTGCCCCTCTTTGACGAAATTTTCGCAATCTGCAGGCTTATGCAGGTCTCTTGGAGTCATACTTGGAGGGAGGCCAACCAAGTAGCCGACGCATTGGCTAAACAAGGAGCAGCTGCGAATGGGACCTAATGTTTAGCTCTGGACTATTTCTTGCTCTATCTTGTCTACTTTTCTTTGTTTTTTGACAGCCGGTGGGTGGTGTCTACCCCCTTGATTGGGATTTTTTGTATATTGTACACCCTTTCCATTAATGCAATGTTAACAGTACCGAAAAATAGATATGGTAGCTCTCCAGGCCCGTGAGGATTTGGGGATTTCCTAGAGACTATAGGGATCATGTGTTAATGTGTCATGGTCATTTTATGTTCCAGCAAGGATTTCGGATGTGAATACTGCAAAGGCAATAGCTTTACTGACTGGGATGAGAACCTTCGCTACATCCTTTGTCGTTACTTGTTGAGGGAGATTTACTCTATGTTACAAGATGGGTTAAGGAGGTGGTTTCTTACCCATGCACATTACTGACACAATAATGAGTTCTTCTGTTGGCCTTTTGAAATGTTCATTACACTACTTTTATAGCAAGTTTAACAACATGGTAGATAAGCCCACAAAGGGCTCTAACCGCACATCCCTTATACAGGAGCTTGACCTGACAGTCATATGAATTTCTTCATGGATATCTCTCCCTCTAAATCTAACACCAACCTCCCTCCCTCCCTTGCTGGTGTATGTCTCCAATTTATGTTCCTTTTTTAGCACAACTTGATGTATACTCCAGTTTATTAATCAATTGCTACTTGTCGGAACAAAAAAAACAAAAGTTCTTGATAGAAGAATGATTCAATCAATACCTAACAATACCATGTGTCAATAGTAAGAAGACAACACAAACCTGAATGATAGCAAGAGCCGCTCGGTATAGCATGACATCAGTGCTATTCTCTCGTACAATCTGCAATTGCTCTCCAAAAATCCTAAATAGATCCACGGCCGCAGGCGTGTATAGCTTCCCATCTTCAGTTTTCTTTGGGTGCTGTACCTTATCAGCTTCAAGGATATTTGTGTACCATTTCTGATGGAACAACAAAAAACGAAAGGGGAAAAAGAAAAATTGATGCTCAAAAGAGTCAAGCACAAGGTTCTTCAGAATTTTATGCAAATGATCTATATATATATATATATATGAAGCGGCACACTTAAATAACAAACATACCCTCGTTGTAGCCTGCATTCTCTCTACATATGCATTCATGAGTGGATCCATTGCCCCACTCTCAGAGCAAACTTGAGCAAATGATTCATCCACACCAAGACCTATTAGATGCTCTTGGTATTCAGCAACCCAATTTGTCACCTGCATGAATTAAGCATATCGATTTAGATTGTAGCTTCAATAAATGACTTACAGCTGCAGTTTCTTAATGAAAGAACAGTAATTTATCCACCACCAGAATTTAAGGAACACAATCAGTGCACTGACAATGTTCCTTCGTAGCAAAGTGTAACTTTTGAGTGTACTAAACAAGCATAAATTAAGGTGCACAGGAAACCCACCTTTAAAATTTCTAAATTTGTGAGGTCATCGGCCTTGTCACTGAGTAATCTCAGCATTTGTATAAACCGTTCAGTGTAGAGGTTGACCATGAATTGGAAGATCTCATATCTGCAAACCAAAGCTGAGAAGGGTAAGAGCAGAAAACATATCCATGGAAATGGCAAACTACCAACTGGATGAGAAAGCATGGTTGCATTAATAGTTATGGAGCCTATAGGGCATATAGACTGCCTATAGGGCATATAGATTAACGACTTGAGCACAATCTGCACGTCACTTAAAACCACATACAAACCAAGATGTACCTATGTTAAGCACACTTACATTCATGTCCTCACATGATGCAGATCTGGAAACTGTGCCCTCTTGAAAACGAGGGAAACTTGTCATGCAAACAATCAACCGACAGTGGGTGATCTCACACGGAGACCAACCAATGGAAACATTCTCCGCCAATGGACATCTTACAGAGGAAGACTCACTGAAGCTAAATAAATGTGTCGGGATGGAATTAGCACGGAATGTCCAGAAAGGTAATGAATGAAGTGACAACTTACTTCTATGTTTTCTCTGATCATAAGGCACAAGTTTTCTCACAATGTAAATAATATTAATTAATCTCTGTACTATGTAACTGGAGACACCGACACAGTACCAAGCTCATCAAGTAGAGCACATACATATGAACCCACAAAAAGCAGATGACAAAAGCATGACCATATCCTCTATCAGTTCTTTTTTAACCTTCATGTAGAACTTTTGGCTGTTGCTCGTTGTTTCAAATGAGTAATCTCATCTGAATCAACCCTGTTGATCAAAATGTCATCCACATTAACCAGCAAAATAACGATCTCAGCATACGTTGAGTGAAGGAACTGAGTGATTACTGTGACAGCCACTCCTAACTACGAAGACTTTGAATCACATGCACTGCTCAAGTGAAAGAACTGAAAGTGACTACTATCACAACCATTGCCTAAATGACGCTTTTGACTGTTGTTATCATTTTAAATTAGCAATCTCATCCGAATGACCCTCAAAATCTCATCCCCAAAAACCAGAAAAATTTTAATATCAGCATTTATTGAGTGAAAAAACTGAAATAGAATATTATCATAACCAGTCCGAAATATGGTGCCCTTAAATCACAGAAAACAATCTTTATGGGCCCAGTGAAGACCATACAGCGTCATATGAAAATAATGCACAAAGGAAGGTGCTTCATAAATGTCCGTGACGGTGGTGAATGAATATCTCCTCGTGCAGTTCCACTTTTAATAACAGCAAACGTCTAATTACTGTTACTGTGACACAACATAGATCATTGTCATCTGGTCAAGAAGAGAAGAGCATATGCATACCCCAAGTCAAACCCATAAACCAATTATAGCCACAAAGCTGCTTTTATGATGTTGCAAGAATAAACCCATTAAAAACCAATAACATCTAGTCATCTCAATGAAGAACAATTGCCACGAGTTTGTTATAATACAGAGCAACAAGATCTCATCCAGAGCAGTTTTCCGAGAGGGCTGTTGGATGCTCCATCCGGTTTAGGCTCACAAATCATATGAAAGTTCCCTAGAGGCAAAAAAAGGCAAGAAGAGTGATTCACATGAATTTACCCCAGATCTGAATTTGGCTCAAAGAGAAGTTCCTCTAGAAGAATTGGGTCTCATGTAGTTGAGTCAGCTCCAATGGACAGATCAACAACCATCCACCTAGAGAACAGGGGGAGCGGGAACGATTCCGGGATTGGGATTGGGATTGGGATTGGGATCGGGAGCGGGGGATTGTGGAATGCTAGAAGATCCCTATGGTTGGGAATGCTGTCCATACAATGCATACGTTAAGGATCGAGATTCCAACCTTTTGGGGATCTTGATCCCGAACTTTTGAGATCTTGATCCCAACTTTTTGGGGATCTTGCTATCAATAATGCAGTGTATCATAATCAAGGATAATGTACACTATTTAAAATAGGGATCTCATTATTTATAGCAAGCAAACAGTGCAACTATGTTAAACGTATGGTTGTGCTACTAGCTGGTTATAAACAAAGAAAATAATCAATCTGATTGTTATCTTGGTCTTTAAGGTTTGGATCGAGATCCCTAACAACAGAAATCGAAATCCCTAACAGTGGGAATCGAGATCCCAAAATTTAAAAATCAAGATCCCTGAGAGATCCATTCTGAGAGTGACAGAATCTAGATCCTAGAAGGGATCGCCTACGAAAGTAAGTGACCCCGGTAACTATGGCTCAAACAAATCTACATTGACTTGATGAGGATCATAATTTTGATTCTAATTCTTGTAAACATTGGAAAAGGGCAACATGAGATGGTTTGATTTCAGGTTCTCCCTCGGAATTACCAAAGCATGAGATGACATATCGAGAGATATAGAGCTTCTCTAATGGGATCATAGCAAGGTGTCTTCGTGACCTAGGACTAAAGACTGTGAATTTTAATGTGAACTTATTGTGCAATGCGGATAACAACAAAACAACATAGGCAACATAGGTGCATCCAAACATTTGTATACATAAATAGTCAGGGGTCAGGCAAGTCACATTCCAATAAGGCTCAAAACCAAGGTTCATGCATGCATGAACTTGTTCCTTATCCTAGTAGGATACCCAGTTGAATATGAGTCATGCATTGCTGCAGAAGCTTCATAGGAAAATGCACTTACAAGTTACAAACAACTTAGTATAAGAACTAAACACCAAAGACCCTTGATAGTCCACACACAACCCAGCACAATCCATAAGATCTATCATGTACAGTTAGGGGCCTTGTCGACCCTCCCCAAAAGCAATCATAGCGATGTTTCACAGACACAAAGCAACCAGAAGTCATGATACTCATAGAAACAAAGTCACTGCACCAGACCTGAAGGCTATTAGATCCATTTGATAAAAAAGGAAAGCGAAATGGACAGCTAGCAAAATGGATAGCTTTACCATCACAAAGGGTTGTTGGTGGTATAAGACCAATGGGCTAGAAACGCAATCTTTTAAAAATTTTCCGTAGTATTAAAACCCAATAAATGCATGAATATCTCAATACAAAACCATAATACACATATTTCAGTCTACAAACATGGTTTATACACATTTGAATAATAAAAATTCAACCCTAATAGGTCCCTTACAAATCCCTTACTCAAAAATACAATTGAACTTAATACAATATCCAAATACTCACATTGTACATCTCTACAACATATTACATGACTTGCACTCGCAATTCCTCATATCAAAATTACATGATAATTCCATCTTCATTCTTCATCTTCATCATATATCACAATGCCTCATACACATCATACACTTTATCATAATAATCCAATGAGATTTCAATTCACATAAACAATAAAGTATAGCATTAAAGCTCATACCACAAGATTAAAGAACAATATCAATATTCACATAACATACTCAATTTAATCAATCATGAATCACTTAATAACTGTAAATGCATCAAATTTACATGCAAACATACATGGGGGAAGCCATGGTTCGAACCCCTTGTGCCCGGGCTACGAAAGGGCCATTTGATGACTTAATTTTGTTCCATTGTCTAAGGCATGGGTGATAATAATAACTCAAGGATATCTATCCAATGGGAAGTAAATGATCACTTTTATTTCACTTAATGGAGATCAAATCATGAGAGAGACATGTATCAAAACAATCCTTGAAAGTTTGAGAGAGATGTTATACAAAAATAAGGAAGTTATGGTGAAACTACACCATGTGGTCCATAAGGAACCTCACAAACTTTTCAACATTCAAAAAAGAACTCAAGGGACTATTTCATATGCTCAAATATGATGAAATAAACCTCTCATCAGTTGTATATTCTCAATAAAAATTCCAAATAACTAAGATCAAGAAAATCAAGGTGAAACTACTCAAAATCATGGAATAAGCAAGTTAATCTACGCATACTATGTGTATGAACTACACTATTGCTTTGAGACTCTTGAACTATCAAGTTTTCATGACCAAAAGATGAAGAAACTGTAAATTAAAAATTACAGCAAGATTTGATAATGGAAATGAGGTAGAAAATGGAATATAAAAAATATCAATACCTTCGTGAAGTAATATTATGGGCTTAATCTCATAAACGAGGGACTACTCCATCAAAAGGTTTCAACTCAAGGCTTCAAAAATGAAGAACACAAGAATGGGGGTGTTGATCTCAAGAGGGTCATGGTGGCCACGTTTTTGTCAGGGGGGCTCTCTCTCTTTGAAGTGAAACTCAAAATTAGGGTTATAATTGATCACATAAGTGTTTTTATACTTAGATCAGAAAGGTGGATTTGATCTTGATCCTTGATGCCTTAGATCAATGACACATGAGAGGCTTTTAACCAAGCCACTCATCCATATCTTATCTAAATCAATGGATGAGCTTTTGACACCGTTCACTCCTTAAAACCTAGGCTAAAGTCATTTTACCTTAAAGCCCTTAGCTCCATGTTTTATTTCCCATTAAATCCAAACTCATGTTTACACTTATGCCCATGGTTTTTAAATAATTTTGAGGGTCAATCTCTCTCACACAGATTATTTAAAAACCATGAGCATATATGGAGGACGTCCAACGAGTTCGCAGATCTCTTGACGAAAGAGGGAGCTAGAATCCAAGTAGAAGATCAAGCCGAGTCCGACTCCTTTTTTGCTCAGGACCACTGGCACATAACATAAAGACCTTGTAGTTTCAGCAAATTTCAGCCCTGCTGTAATTTTTGAAAGCTTCATGTAAATCTTTGTAATCAGGCGGTCTCTACAAGCCCCTTTTTGTACATGATAAACTAATGCATTTTTTTACCAAGTCACCCCTAGCAGGTGAGTTCGGACTCTCACATCCATGTAAACATCACTCATCGGTAATACAATGTTAACCTTCTCTAAAAAATAATTTGTGAGAGTCAATAAAAAACAATGACATGGACATAAAGGTAATATGCGACATCCACACATGAATAAAATATCATATGACACCATCAATAGGATTTCAACAACACTAAAGTTTCACATGGGTCAAGCCCATAAGGTGGTGTCACATAAGCTACACCCACATGCCACAAAATCATATATAACTAATAATATAGATCAAATTAATCCTCAAAATCCCATGACTTCACACATGCCAAACAAAGTACATGTGTGAACAAAACACCATGTGACAAAATAACTCACTTAAGTCACAACATTATAAAACATAATATAACTAAATAACAGAAGACAACAATGCCCCCCACGCATAAGCATGATGTCAGCATGATGTCAACACCCAAGGGGGTGTGGGGGTGCCATGTGGCATCCCTTTGGCCACTTGGGGCCCACAAGGCATCCGCATGGCTTGTCCTAGATCGTCATTAGGCAAAACATTTTTAAAAAAACAATTTTTGGTGTTTCAAAAATTCCGAAAAATTCTCCAAAAATCCCAAAAATTCTCCGAATGATTTTTCAACATTATTACATAGTTTCTCATCAATATAAAATCTTTTCTCATCAAATTTAAATTAATATGGACCAACAGTAAATGAAATCTCTAGACATATAACACTAATCAGAGTCTTCCATTGGGCTAACCCGAATGACGTTCCACCAGTGTCTCAAGCCGACCCAACAGACCTATGCTCCACAGCCTATGGCAGGGACACATAATTGGTCACATCAAAGTCGTTGAGCCAGAGCTTCCCGTTACCGGGGGTTCAATGGATTACTGATGCACCCCTCTGGGATATGTTTCTACTCAAATACAGGGGTCGTCTCAAAGCACATGTGCACTAGCTCTTCTAAGTCGGATAATACTATAGAAGAATGGCTTCTCCTTACGACTGTGGGTGCACATGTCATAGAACAGTCTTGTGTCAGGATACGGGCTCATGTCCCATGAGCCGACCATTCCATACAGGGCAAATACTCTTTTAAATACTCGGGTTTTATCATTCTAGATTGGATTCTCCAAGCCCTGGTTTATCACATCAATTATGAGACATTCTAATCAATATAGTCTTGACTAGGAGGTGACCCTCACACCTCCCCGAGAGTTCACCTTCTCAAAATGCATACTTTCCATGCCTCAAATACTCAGGGTATATGAATCTGGGCCCCAGTGCGTCAAGCACCCAGATTCAGTCTCTCTCTAACTCCCACGTAGCGAAAGACTCTTGGCTTCAACGCCTTGAAAGGCGACAGCCAACAAGGGCTTCCGGTGGTATCTGGATTGTCTGGAGTCTGTTAGAATTGAAAAGTGGTCAAATTCTTTTGACAGAGTTCTTGGCTATTCAATTCATGGGCCAAAAAGCACTTCACTTGGATTCTTACTGCAGTTTGGGGGCCAAACAGGTCAGTGGATAGAGGTGCATTCTGGGAAGAGTTCAACCAAATATGGAAGCAAAAAGGAATACCAATCCTTCGAAAAAAATCAGGGGAAGCCAAAAGAAGGAAAAGCTTGGAGGCCTCTGACGACTTCATCAATAGACATAGCCTTATGGAGATTACTCTTAATGGGGCAAACTTTACCTGGTCTAACTGCTATGATCCTAAACCAATTCTTACTAAGCGCAAATGTATCCTCATTACCCCTTTGTTTTCCAGGGACTGTCCTACACAAACCAATACTGGATCATAAGCCTATGTATCTAGATACAGGTCCAGTCAGTGGAGGGCTTAAACCAGTTTTGAGTTTAATGTAGTTGGTGGATAAAACTCTTCCGGATCTGATCTGAGAGTGATGAGCCTCTATAAAGTAGAAGGATGGGCAAGATACAGAATATGTAGGAAATTGAAACTACCAAAAAATCATCTCAAATTGTGGAGTCAAGAATATTTTTGCCAATTGGAAACTGGAAAGACCAAATTACTTATGCATGATCAGCAAAATTGATGACTAACTCAGACCAAAGTTCATGGGAAGGCATAAACTTAGTCAGCTCAAAGTTCAGGACTCAGACGAAGTTCCTTGTGAAGGATGGAAGAAGGATTCTCTTCCGGAAGATACTAGGCTAAAAAGTGAACCAATCAAAGATCAGTACCCCCTATGCCATGCTCTTGCTTACAATAGCAACAGTGGTGCAAGGGGTTTGACACAAGGCAGCATGGCCTCCAAACCTTAGAAGAGGCCCAAACAAGGTAGATATGGGGGACTCATAGTGCTGTTGCAGGAACTTCAAAACTTCTTATTTGTGCTGAGAAAAGAGGACCAGTGCATTTCGAGAGGACCAGCACATTTGGAGCAAATATAGTAGAGGTAACTTCTTTATTTTTCTCTTGGATAATTATTGTAAAGGTAACTTCTCCGACAAATCCTTTGCATAAACTTATAAATTTCAACCCAACAAGCAATATAATTGGCACAAGGATTTGGATATTCCAGTAAACCCAAAAGCACAAGCAGTCACGTAGCTTGTGATATTGGACAAGGTCTTGACAGTGGACTACCGTGGAATCCCCAAACCTAACAGATGTATTATGTGCAAGTAAGCAACCTGAAACAGTGAAGCAACTCTTTGTTCAATGTGAAATAGCTACCAGAATCTAGGGATTAGCAACTAGACCTTTTTGGTTTTCAATGGGATGCTCCAGATCAAAGGAGATCTTGCTCAACATTGCACTAACCCTACTCGACCAAAGCCAGTACTCAATCTTTGGAGACTTGGGTGTACTGGTATCCTTTTGGACTTTGGACAGTTTGGCTGGAAAGAAACAAAGGAATAATCAACATGCTATATCACAGGGTGACATAGCTAAAGGGTAAAATAAGGGCGACAGGTATCATATGGCTTAAGGTGAGAAAGGGATTATGAAATTCAGAATCAGTGGTAAGCAATAGTGATAAGTAAGCCAAGTTGAAGTTCCTTACAGAATGGCTCCACCATTTCAGGGAACTCCTAAACTGAATTTTTAAGTGTAGTTCCAAGGGAATCCCACATCCAGCACGAGCTGGTGAAAGAACAAGGGATTACCTCAGAAAGGTGCTAATGACCTGCTCAGGTCCTTTGGGAAGTTACAATTCGAATGAAGTACAAAGGACAGGCCCTATTGTTTAGGTTGTGTAATCTGAAATCAGATTGGAACAATACACAAGTAGAAGGGGACTTAGAAAATGTGATATCATGGGCTGCAGGGGAATACACATAATCCAAAGTGGCCAATAAATATATTCCTGGGATTTTTGAGATTGCTAGTTATCTCATAGTTTCGTTCCACCATATCAGACAAGAAGCTGATCAGGTTGCAGATAGAATAGCAAGAGCTGGAATGCCGAGGTCATCCCTTGCCATATTCTTTTTGTAGATATAGGGAAACCCAAATACAACTAGAGACTCAATTTTGCGTACATGATATACACGTATGGCTTTAATTATATGAATGAAACAGTCTCAATGTTACTTTTTTGAAAAATCATTGTATATCATTGTATCTAAGGGGACTTATTAGCCCTTTTTATACATGACTGACTAATGTATTTTTTACCGAAAGCCACCCATAGCAGGTGCCTTCGGTCGCTCACAATTCTGTAACTATTACTATCTTAGTAATATGATGCTAACATTTCTCAAAAGAAAATTATATGAATGAAACAAAGTTAACCACCAAAAAAAAAGCGTAAAAGTCAAAAGACAAAAAAAAACAAAAGATATAGCATTCAGAAACATTTGTAGCTAAAACAAGATATATAAGCATGAGAATATACTACACAAGCAACAAACATAGCCGAAGTCCATATTGATAGACTCAAATTGTGCATGTAAACAAAACAAGTATTGAAAATTTTTCAATAAATTTTTAAATTGTCATAGTTATTGAAAAATAAAGACTAACCTCGGAGGAAAACAAGGTGCTACATAGTCATAAGCATCACCAAGCTCCTCATAAATCTGAAAGGAGAAAAAGAAAGTCAAACAAACATGGTTAATACCAGCTCTTCTGTGAGGTATTTAAAAATGTACAAACACCATGAATGAGTGATAAGAACGCATATTAAAAGGACAATATTTCAGCAATAACCTTAAAACATGATGTAGTGAAATATTCGAAGGAAGACTATATCAATCATGACCGATGCTTCAATACACTCTAAAAAAGGTTATCAGCAAGCATCTAGTAATATCGGTCCATTATTTGCATTTTTTATATCTGAAATTTTGACATTAGCCATACTCTTAAGCATCATCATGATTATCAGTTTACATAATTTTATAATACAATTTCAAGAAACATATAAATTCAATCTGTCATTATCACTAAAAGACAACAATATGTCGAACCTTCAATGAAGAATATCTCAACGAATATACTTCCAAGCTATTTTTGAGAGCTGGAACCAGCGTTCGCAAAATCGAACCAGAACGGTTAACCAGACATGGGCCCAGAAGCGGTTTAACCAGCCCAACCGGTAAACCGGCCAATTCAACCGTTCTAACCGGGGAAGTCCCGAGCCGTAAAAAAAATGTTGAAAAAATAAAAAAGATACACAAAAAAAATACTAAAATATGAAAAGCTTATAAAGAATAATTAAAACATAACACATTGAAATAAAGTTGAAAATTAATGAAAAAAATAGATTTTAACGAATCAATTTTTGAATTAAAGTGAGTATTAATGATAAAAAAAAAAAATTAATCTTTACCATAATGTAAAGAATACCAAAAAAATGCATTACAAAAATTCTTTATTTTTGAAAATTTTATATACATTTTTTTGAAATTTTTTTTTTTAAATACCTGTCAATCACCAAAACCGCACAAAACCGGAACCGCTTCCAATCTAACCGGGCGGTTAGCAGTAGATCGCGTGGTTTTTCTAACAATGACTGGAACTGAAGAGAGCAACTACCACTCGGACATGGACACCAATGACCACTCTCCCCCCTCACCCTGCCTCCTCTAAGCTTTCTCTCTCAGCCCATATGTAACCACTCTCTCACCCTCCTCCCTCGCTAGTCCCCTCTCATCTGGAGAGGGAACCTCCCTCTTTCTGCCTCCCTCTTGTTAAGAACTCTACTCCTCTACTCTCTAACCTACTTATGACGACCCCCATAAACTCTTCTGTTAAACCCTCATTAAAGAAGCCCCAACCAGTAAATACCCACCACCTACCACCTTTATATCATCAGTATCGCAAGTATATCTACCCCTCTAAGCCCACCTCATCATACTCACAGCCACCAAAAATCCACAAACAAAACAATCTTGTAAAATCACTTCCCAAACCAACCCTTGCTTCCCAATCTCTCCTCCCCTAGCCCCAAACCTACCCAACATAATCTCCTTCCTCCTTGTGCCATGTATATCCCTAGACAGATCAATTGACCCTTTAAGACTATCTAATGTGGCTCTCCTAGATACTAACAACCAATCAATTGACAGTCTTCTCCCTTATCATTCTTCCATTACTCCAAACTCAAGCCCCACCACATCATTAAATCCCAGCTATCATCCCAGCATTTCAATCCCACATACCCTCAAGTTATTAAATGACAACCGTCTTCCCATCACCTCAAACTTACATACCCCCACTAACCCCCAGGTCCTCTCAACATTAGCCCCTTCCAAGGTGGAACACTTTGATAAAAGAGCTTAATCTAAAGATATTTATCTCCACTGTTCCTCCACAAGCATCCCTAATTCCCATCCCATCAATCCATTTAATGCTAGCAGCGTATCTCTCACATCTGCCGGGAAACCCCATATATCTTCATCACCCAAATCACATTCAACATCTTGCACCTCTTACCTATCAGTCCTCAATCTTGTCGCATTTAAGGAGGCAATAAATCACCTGAACTCAATTGATGACCCAAATCCAATCCCCCCTCAATACCAATCACCTTCCTCAAGCACACCCCCTTACTCCTACACCCATCACATCCTATGTGATGATTCTAAATTTTTGGAACTAAATAACAACAATAATAATATTATTAATGTTAATATTAATATTAATATTAATATTACTGTTAATATTAATATTAGTATTAATATTAATAAAAAAAATATAAAATACCTATATAACCGTAAAATTTTGACTGATAGTTCATTATGCTAAGAATATACCATGGGGCCACTCTAAACTTTTCATTTCCATTTGTTTTTTTTAACAGAAATACACAGTTTTAACATAATTCAAAAGATTTGAAAAATACCCTACCAGCATCCCAAGTAGGTTACCTGTATACCGTACCAGCGTCCTAGATGGGTCCACATAATCTCTATCGGCATACCAGGCAGGTCCACTCATATCTCACTGGCGTACCGGATGAGCCCACTTAATCCCTACCGGCTAACGGATAAGTCCACTTATATCTCACCGGCGTACCGGATGAGTCCACTTATTCCCTACCGGCGTAAAAGGTAGGTCCACTTATATACTTAAAATATCTCTGAAACTTTTTATCACTAAACAGTAGGAAACAACAATATCGTTTATTCAAAATATCTTTAAAATCATCAGCATGAATTCACATGAAGCCATCTATCGCAACCACTTTCACTGATATTTCTATAAATAACCAGTCAAATACTTTGGGCTTAATTTCATAAAGATAGCAATTATGAGAAACATTCTTAAAAATTGAAATTTAACATGGTAAGCAGTCTATTGACAGTAGAAGAATTCTTACGTAAATCCAAAATTAAATATTAAATTTTCAACTATCTAAAATCCTTAATAATAAACAGAAATATTACAATTTTCTTAAATGTGGAAATACAAGTTTTCAAATAACCACTTTTATAGGAAAATAAGGTCACTTACTCTTAAAATTTATACGTCACTTTGAGATGGATGTGTCGGTACCGCTGCCAGAGTAAGACCGGGATCAATGGTGTTTAGCTAAAGGTAAGGGAAGAGAGACCAAATGAGTTTATATAAGATGGGAAGGGAGAATGAAAAAGAATAGACATATTACAACAGAGAGAGAAATATTATATGATAGAAAAGAGAATAATTAATTTTGTTTTAATGAGGACAGTATGAGAAAGACAAGAACTATTATGAGATTTTCATGAGAGAGAAATATTATATGAGAAAAAAACAATTATTATAATGAGAACATTATGAGAGAGAGAAATGTTACAAGAGAGAAAGTATTATGAGAGAATTATAGGAGCGAGAATTATTATGAAGTTGTTATGAGAGAAAGAAGAACTTACAGATGGGGAGAGAGAGAATGTAATAATCCTAAAATGTCAAAAAAAAAAAAAAAAAAAAAAAAAAGTTTTAAATAAGTGATGGTTTATATGAGCATGATGGCCCTTAGGGACCATCACTACTTATAAAAGCTTTTGGTTTAAGTTTTTACTGCCTTGCCACGTCCTTTAGTGGACGTGGGCTTTAAACGCTCAGGAGTATATAATTGTTACACCTCATGTATGAAATGTAACTTAATAAAATAATATAATAAGGTATCTTAAGAATTTAAATAGGAGACGCGAGGACTCCCACCCTAAAAAAATTTTGAGATCTTTCTCTCGCTAGTTGAAACGCAGTGAGCTTTTTCTCTCTTTAGCCGAATTTTTATCAGAAGCTCCCTCTCAAATATTTTAGGTAAGTGACTTCATTATCTTGAAAATAATCCATTCTTTTTAAAAAAAAAGAAATGAAATAATTACTTCTACTTATTATCATGAATTTTAGGCGCGATAAATTTTATGCGCAAGCGACCTCATTATTTTGAAAAATATTCTTTTTAATAAAAATCGTGATACTTTATCTATGTTAGAAATTTTAAATGCTGTAAATTCTTAGAAATAAATTTATTTATTTTTCTTTTCTATTGTCAGAGAATTTTAGATACTGTAAAATTATTAGAAATAAATGTGATATTTCTGCTTCTAGTAAAATTGTGAGATTTCTTTAAACTGTTTTTGAAGATTTAGACATTCTAAATTTCATGTGCAAATGACTGCCTAATTATTTGAAAACTGATATTTTTGCAATTGATTATAGCATTGTCAGTGAAATGTTTATTTGCGAATTGACATCCCATAAATTGTGATAATTCTGTATTCTTGAATTTCTATAAGAGTTTTTTTATACATATTAGATTGCCAATTATGCTAAAATGTAATTACGAACTGCTACCTTTCTAAATTTGAGCCCAAAATATTTGACTGGTTATTTTTGAAATGTTATTGAAAGTGACTTTTATTAATGGTTTCAGTGAAATTCATATTAATAATTTCAGTGACATGTTGAGTACATGATATTGCTGCTTTCGAATGTTTAAAGAGATTTAGAAATACTTTAAGTATGCAAGTAGACTCATCCCGTTCGCCGGTGAGGTATAGTGGACCTATCCGATACGTCGGTAGGGATTAAGTGAACTCATCTGGTATGCCGGTGAGGTATAAGTGGACCTGCAGGGATTAAGTTCACCTATCTGGGACGCCGATAGGGATTAAGTGGACCCATCAGGACGCTGATGGGGTATATAGGTGACCTACTTGGGACCCCAGTAGGGTATTTTGTGAAATCTTTTAAATTATGCACTGACGTTAAAATGTTATGCGCATTTCAATTATTCAAATTATACTTAATTATGCATTTTTAAAAGTGAAACTGTTGATGCATTTCTGTTAATAAATCTCCTTTTTGAAAATATTGATATCTTTTAACATGATTGATATCTTTTTAGGATTATGATGGTCACTTACTGAGTAGCCAAACTCATCAAATTATGGTAAACATTTTTTCAGGATAACTGCGGTTTCATTTTGAGTGCCCATTCAGGATCAACTCTGGAAGATATTGTAGTTGTGCTTAAACTTTCTTTTGTTACTTTGTAAGAATTCGCCACTGTAAATTTGTCCTATCAAGAGATATATATGTTTTGACTGTCACATCTCAGGAATATCAGTATTGTAAATTCTTGAGG